CCGGTGGCCAGGTGAGGGCGCTGGAAGCCCGGGACTCGGCGGAACGGACCGGCCGGACCGCCTGGGCACGCTCTGGGACCGCTGCGGGTCAGGGCCCCCGTGAGCCCGCAGCAAACGCCCCTGAGCCCAGTGGGTTCCCCAGAGAAGGAGAGGGCAAAGACCCGTGTCTGCTACGGGCTTCAGCGCTCCTGACACGCAAGAGACTTGAGAAATTACCAGAAAGAGTGGCTTTAGAAAAAGGTTTAGAGTCGTGGCTCGGCAGTTCCTCTTGGAGGGGCTTCACAAAGGCCAGTTATGTGGCCGTGGACAACGTTGACCTCTCTAGACGTCGGTTGGGAGAAAGACGTGACTTTCTACTCCAGCAGAGGAGTCTCGGGGACCCACTGTGGCAGGTCTACCCTGTCCTAAAATATCGCTTTGAGTCGGAACCGGCTCCACAGCAGTGAGTTTGTTAGGGTATTTTGGGTTTGTTTTTTTCGGGGGGGGGGGTGTTGTTGTTTAGAGGCCTTAGTTTCCTCTCCTTAAGAAAACGGGCTCTAGGCTGCTCCTTCATAGGACTGGTGGACGGATTTACATGGGATCGTACACATCCGGGCATCAAGCTCAACAGAGGTGTCCTGCAAGTCGGAACTCTTCTACTATGTGGGGCAAACTCGGTACCTCTTTAACCAGACAGGTAAAGAATCCCGGAGATCCCAAAGAAGAAAGTATTATTGCTCTAGCTGAAGAAATTGCTAGTGGAAAGCACCCATAACAGGCCCCTCATATAGCTCCTCTCAGCCTCTAAATTATAAGCCAATGACTTGCTGTGTGACCCAGAGCCACTCCACCTCTCTGGTCCTGTTAGTTTGTTGTTCCATCTATAAAATGGTGATTTTGATACCTGTTCTCCATCCCCCCACTCCCCTCTACTTCTCAGAGCCTGCTGCTCTGCCCCCTCACCTCCTAGAATTCACACCTGCAGCCATCTGCAGGTGAGCGCCAACTCTGCTGGGAGGCCTCATTCTTGAAATACAGTAGCTCCAGCACCGAGGTCTGGACTGTAGGACCAGGCTCGGGCCATCAAAAACGCTGTGGGAGTTCATGCTATGTCCTCTGGGCTGGAGAAGGAGCTGACCTTGCCTCTCAGGGGGAGACAGGTATCAGGGTCCCCCACCCCTTCCTTGACTTCCTAGGAGATGATATGACCCCCGTTCCCACCCCACCCAAGCCAGCCTTTCATTCTAGTCACATAAAAATGGAACACGCGACTCTTTCTCTCTCTCACCCTCGGGTATTTATTTTTGTTTGGTTTCTGAATTGTGGTGAATACGTATGTAACAAAACACTTGCCATTTCAAAGCTCTTCGTTGGTTTCTTTCCTTTCTTAAGTCAGGGGCTCCACAAACATTGGTGAGTTGGAGCGAGGGTAGAGGAGTGTGGGACCTTTGGTACAAATGGCGCACAGTTGTCCTTGATCCTGTCTTGCTAGGAGCAGAGCGCATGTAGGGCACAGGGAGCAATCTGATGGGAGCCCCGCTCCACGGGAGACTCAGCTGAAATGGGAAAGGAAGGCTCTTGTTCTGTGCAGGCTGCCGAGAAATGCTGAGTCATGTTTTCTTAAGACACGGAAATGCTCAGCACATTCCTCTGTTGTCCAGCTTTCTTTATCTCAGAGCAGTGCCCAGGGGGAAAGAGCAATGCTGATAACTTGCACACAGGCTCCAAGAGAACGTGCCGGGCCGTGCTTTGGGGATTACTGTTAGTTGCATTCCCTTTGTGGAATCACTATATTCTCACCAAACCCAGTGCTGCCGAGGTGACTCCAACCCATAGTGACCTGAGACTGTCAATCTTGACAGGAGCAGACAATCTCATCTTTCTCCTTGGGAGAAGCTCCTGAGTTTCAGCAGCCCACCCTGCTGTTAGCAGCCCAGTGCCTGACACACCATGGAGTCAGTCCTGGTGGCATGGTGGTTCCGAGTTGGGCTGTGGTCAGCATGGCCAGCAACTCAAAACTACCAGCAGCTCCTCCTTGGGAGAAAGGCTAGGCTTCCAAACCAAACCAAACCAAACCAAACTGAACCAATTTCAACTCATGGAGACCCTAAAGGAGTGAGGAAAACTGCCCCCTTTGGGCTTCTGCGTCCTTACATCTTAACAGGAGTAGACTGCCTCTTCTTCCTGTTATGGAGCAATCGGTGGGTGTGAACCACTGACCTTGCTGTTATCAGTCTGCCCCTTTAACGCAAGCATCGCTGGCCCTCTGCTCCTTGAGAAGCCTGCTTGTAAAACATTTGAATGAGTAGTTATGCCTCTGCCTCCATCCTCTAAACCCCCAGTCCTGGTTTCCCAGAAAACAGCAGATCCTATAAAGCCGCAATGAGAGATAGGAGGCAGAATGCAGTCAGCGAGGACATGTGCGGACGGTGGGCCTCCAGGCTTCCAGCAGCACCCCGCGCAAGCACGTCTCTGAGACAGTCCTACGCTAAGAAAATGCAAAACCACTTAGCGTCCAGTTGACTCCAACTCACAGAGGCCCCAGGGGTGACTGCGGGACTTGAACGCTAGTTTTCAGAAGTAGAGAGTCAGACCTCTCTTCTGAAATACTTCTGGGTAGATGCAAACCACCAGCCTTGAGATTAATAGGTGAATACACTAGTTGTCCACACCACGCAGGGATTCCAACCTTAGGAAACCAAATGGACCCTAAACCCACCTGCCACCCAGTCCAGTCAGGTGCATAACAATCCAGATCTGCCCCAGAGGGGTTCCAAAGTGTACGTTCCAAACTGTACAGAAGCAGTTGGTGGCTTCCAATGTGAACTTTTCAGTTGGCTTTTGGGTGTTTTAACCACTGCACCACCAGGGCCTGTACCCAAAGAGAAAAACCCAAACAAACTCACTACCTTCGAGTCGATTCCGACTCACAGGGGCCCTTTAGGGAAGTAGAAAGAAGCCCCATCTTCCACCCAGAAAGGAGGCTCCCAAATAACAGGCATACTTAAGTTTCACCAACAGAGGTCGCTCTTGGACACCAAGCTTGAAGCTGGCATCTCAAAAGGGAAATTCCCAGCGCTGGGCCCTGGGTCAGATTTCCAGGCCTTAAAACGGCGTGGTTTCTGTTTTGCTGGAAGCCTCGGAGGCTATCCGGCCAAGGGAGCAGCCTCAGCTGATCTGTTGACTGAACGGCTGTGCTGGAATTGGGGACAGGAAGTCTTAATTACTGATGAACCACTAGGAGCTACGAATGTGGATTTCTTCATCTTCCTCATCACCACTCTTAAGAAAGGACTCTCCCCCCACCCCACTCCTCCCTGTTTGTTATACCTAAAATATACGTGACCTTCTCCGTGGTTGTTATGAATGCACGCCATGCATTTCTTTTTTCCTAATTTCGAAACACATCTTTGTTCCTTGCAAAATGCCTTGAGAAATTCAGAAAATGCACACAAGAGAAACTAGCTGTAGCTGTTGCCATCGGTCACTTCTGACTCACGGAGGCCTCGGGTGTCAGAGGGGAGCGCCCCATGGGTTTCTGGATTGTGATTTTCACAGGAGCCGGTCACTAGGTCTTTTTTCAGTGGAACCACGGAGTGGGTTTGAACTGCCAACCTTTTTGTTAGCTGCCAAGGTCTTTATGACTGTGCCAGCAGGGCTTCTTCACGGAATACTGTGCAGCGCTTTGAAAAGAAGGCCGCATTTGCTATCCTAAAATTAAAATTATGTATACACGGGCCATTATGTACCCAACAGAGGGAAGGGAAAATAACATGGACAAAAGCCAGAACCTGTGTGAGGTGGAAATCTGTCACGTCTTCTATTGGCTTCTCGATGAATACTAAATCATCCAGAGTGATATCTAAGAATATAGTAACAGGGTTTCCTGCACGGTGCTGGTGATAATTCTGGCAGGGGTGTGGGAAGACGGGAGGTAGACTTTTTCTTAGGCATGCTTGCCCTCTTTTTTTTTTTTTTAATCAATGAATGTCTTAGCTCATCAACAAATTAAATAAGTTCACAGTGACTAAAAAGTTGTTCTGGATCCCGGGGGCTTCAAAAACTGGGGAGGGGAATGGAATTGAAATAAAGTGGAATTTCTCCATGAACTTTTTGAAGGCCTCTTTATGTAATTAATAGGAGCCCTGGTGGTGTGTAGTTGTTACTCGTTGGGCTGAGATCCGCAAGGTTGGCAGTTTGAAATCGCCAGCAGCCTCTTGGGAGAAAGACTGAGCTTTATATCCCGGTAGACAACTAGTATCAGAACCACACTGATTTGATGGTAGGGAGTTACGTAATAAATAAGCCTGTCATTCACTTAGTCATATATTTATTAACATCTCCCAAGCCTTAAAATTCAGTCAACTTTATTTTAGTAGCTTGTACCATTTCCTAATACTAGCATGATTTATAGAACCATATTACCTATATGATTTCAGCTTTTACAATAAGGCTGCAGGGTTTTTTTTGTTTGTTTGTTTCTTCTTTTTTTTTTTAAATCAATTTATTGGGGCTC